TTTTTTTTTTCATTTGCCATCCACTCATAACTGACAGAGGACATTTGAAATTTGAAAAAAATATACTTTATTTCACCATGGTGTTTACACAATTTGTGTATAAAATGTATAAATTCTCTTTAACCAAAAAGAAAACGAAAAAGAAAAAAATGTATTTTATGCACTGCATTTTAAATGTTCATATCTCTATACAAAGCACACAGAGAAAAAGTACAAAAGCTCAGAATGAACTCTTGTTTGAATGGCGAGTCTTCCGAATATCTCCGTCGCGAGGAGTCTTGCTCACCTCTCGCGCTCCCTGAGTTGCGGTTTCATCTCACGCGCTGCTGCTGCTGCTGCTACCGGCGCGTCAAGCGCAATGAAGTGATTCCCCGCATACGGATACAGTCAGTCCCGTCCTTTATCTGCGAGAGCACACACAAACAAAACAAAAGGTTATTAATTTCATACAAATATATGATCTAGGCTATGATCTGTATTTTTATTTGTTTATTTATTTATTTATTTTTGCTTTGATCTGTATTTTTTATTTATTTATTTATGTATTTATTTTTGCTTTATTCGAGATTTTAGTCATGCCTTCTGAATGTTGGGAAACAACTCACGTACAGTTTACGCCTTGATAAAGACATTTAATGTTTGACAGGGAAAGAGTAAACTATTGTGAGGAAATATAGTTAGGAAATGTAACACTTTTTAAATGATCATCTAGCACAAAAAGATGTGTCCAAATATATTATCAGTCGCCTATTAGAAGGGACCAAATATTAAAGTTAAAAAAGCTGTCACTGAATACATTATGGGCATAATTACCACTAATAACATAAGGACTTCTATTATTTTTGTAACGTAAATGTGTTTTCCTTTCGTTTTAAGCTCTCAAATCTAATTTATGTGTGCTTTATTCTCAAACTTGCTATCTTTAACAGCCCGTATTAGCAACATATCAAGGGTCCTTCACACTTTCTGAGGTGCATGGATCTGCACATCCCGTCCATTTGCCATTCATAAACGTTTACTATTATAAAGATAAGTGTTAATTATTACTATTATTGTAGACACTCTCTATATCAAAATGCATTATTCTCACGTGTCCATCCATTTGAATTCTCTTACCCCTTTTCTCTGGCTGCTGAGGCAGAAAGTACATATGGTGCGCGGCTGCTTCCCTCCGCTGTCCCCCTGCGCGCTGTAAACCGCGCTCACGCACGGCTGCGCGTCCTCTCCTCCGTCCCCTATCAGGAGCACATTGGCCAGATGTGAGATGTAACTGGAGGCTAAGCGCAGAGTCTCAATCTTTGACAGCTTTCTGTCCACCGGCTCGGTGGGAATAAGAGTCCGTAACGCCGTGAAAGCAGTGTTGACACTCTGTGTCCTGTCGCGTTCCCGCGCGTTCGCTGTGTTCCGTTGCTTTACTATAACCACACTGCTCACCGTGGAGTTGCGTGACATCCGCAGCCGCTTCTCCGCACTGGGACAGCAGCCGTAGCTCAGCTCCGAGCTGCCGTCGCTCTCGCTGCGGTTTTCCTCATCCTCAGACATCATAGCAACATCCGGGTACGCTAGATGAGTCGCCATGGGCCGCAGCATGGCAAATGCCATCACTAAAAACGGATTTGGCCCGATGAAACCGAAAGGGAAGTATCCAAAGTATCCAAAATGAAACGATGGATTGTTGTCAAGCACTAGCCACGGAAACACTGCATCGCCAAACCCTGATGTGTGTTTCTCTGACGTGTTTCAGCAGTTGATCAATCTCATCACATGTTAAAGATCCTCTTGATGTGCGCCCTTAATCATTCCATGCGCGAGCAGCTAAAGCAGGAGCAGCGCGCGCGGTCTTATAGGATCAGGGAGGAGCAGGGAGGGGCAGTCACTGATATGCAAATAACCAAAGCGACAGTCTCATAGATGAGCTAAATCATATTTGAGCACAAAATACCTATTTTTAATACTTGATAGTTTTGCTAACAAATTCAAATCCATTCAGGGATAAAGAAAAACATTAAGAACAAACAGAAAAATAAAGTTGCATTCACCGAAACGTATGTTTTTGGACAGGTATACGCCTACCATGCATGGCTGTGCTATTCTTATAACATGCGCTCTCAGAAAAAAAATGGTACAAAAGCTGTTTCTGGTTGGCATCTTTAAAGGGTACATATTGGATTGGTACCTTAAAGGCACACATTAGTTCCTATAGTGTGCATATTAGTACCTAAAAGTTACAAAAGTGTACCTTTTGAAAAGGTACCGCACAAGTGACAGCTTTTGCACCTTTTTTTGATAGTGTGTAAATACACTGAGATGAGTTTCAGTTCAATACCATGATATTGCCTTCTGTCCCATCACTGTATGGTACTGCCACAGTAATGTAAGTTTAAGGGTGTTTTATGTTTTTATATATGTATAGATTTATAATTTATAATATTTATCTAATATTTATAATTTATAGTATTATAAAGTCTTATATTATTGATTTCATTAAATTAGTTTATTATTCCTGGTGTTATATTATTGTTGTTGATGAAATATTGCAGTTGTGTTTCGTCTGTGTTTCTTGTTGCAAGATTATTTCCCTTTCCGGTTTTAATCATTTTAAAAACTTATTTTGGTTTTTATTTTGGCATCTTTTGTCTCTGTCAGATGTACTGTAAAAATAAACCCACTAAAATTGAAAACTTCAATTTTAAATTAGGCCATTATTATTATTATTATTATTATTATTATTATTATTATGCAATGTGGAAACGAAGAAAAAATAGACTTTTTTAAATAAAAGAGCTCGTGCAGTAATATGACCCTTCACTGGGAAAAACAGAAGCTGCACCTGCAAGTAACTCTCGGCCTGTGATTATCCTCTGAATTTACTGCTTTTATTGCGCGGCCATTTGACAGCGAGGCGTTTAAAACAACACCGGGCCAATAATGAACGCTGGCAAACGCATTGTAATGCTGCAAAGATAAAGATGTTTATTTACAGAAGCACTTTCCTAAGTGGCTTATTCGAAAAACAAATTAAAAAAAGAATTCGCATCGAATGTCATATATTCATTGGTGAATCGAGGTTTTCAAGTGGACCTGCACTAGAGAGTATAGCTATTATTTATTTTTAAATACGGCCCTTTTACTCGCAGTCACATTGGGCATTACTGATTTTGTGAAGTAAGATTTTAAGTCCCGCTGCCTTTTGTTTTCATTCAGTGGCTCAAAGAGCATGAGGCCACAGTAAAGAACAGTAGGGGTCTCTCTCTCAACCTTTTTCTTACCTTCTTTTTGGCTTTTTTTTCTTCTCTCATACACCCATGTCTGTTTTTTTTGTCAATTTTTTTTAATTTTTTTTATAGCCTATACAGACAGTCAAGATTTGTTCACTTTCATTCTTATTTCCTACATTTGATTCCTCTGCTTCACATTCACACATTTGTTTTCACTTTCCTTCCTGTCATAATTCATGACTGGCCTTGTCATATAAGCATAACTTGTCTCACGATCATGATCTCTGTTTCAGTGCATTCAGTGCAAAAGAATGCAAGACCTTAAATCAACCATATAGGCTTAAGTGACCAAACTCACAAACCTGTGACCTCTCATCTTTGACCTCAGCTTATGTGCTCAAGCAATGTGGTCATCCTCATTTGGTCCAATAATCGCTCAGTTGCAATATGCATAACTACATGCTTTATTGAAACAAAGACTTTTTATGGAAATGTATATTTCTGGGCATTTTGACATGCATTTCAACTGAATCTTCAGAAACTCTCCTTGTTTTGACATCACCTAAACAGCTAAAAGCACAGTTTTACTCCAGCTTTAACTCACACGTTATACCATTAGCAGGATAACAAGATTAAATTCACATAATTGTGTTTGTTGAACTCTCAACTGTTTGGTTTGTAGCCGAGGGGCAGAAGTTCTGCTGGAGTCTATGAGCTTCTGCTTGGGGCTGAGCTCACGCAGTGATGGTTTGTTTGTAGGTGTTGGGTAAATAAACATGAGGCAGATGTTAAGAATGATCTAAGAAAGAGAGAGTGAGACAGTGGCAAATGGTTTCCAGACCCTCTTTCTCTGTCTCATTTATTTTCTCTTTGCTTCCATGGCCCGTAATATGTCACTTGGAGCAGCTTTCACAAACATGTCAGTGTCACTTAAACCCAGGACTTTCTGTCCCCTCAGCTGCACCAACAACCCCCTCCCAACATCTACGACACCTACGACATTTTCAAAACACCTGCATGCTGTTTTTACAAGCCTGTGGTGGGCAATAATCAATAAAGCTATGCTGATCCATACAATCTCCAATTTAAATGTTCAAAACAATCACCAATTAAAGATTTATTAGTCTCAGTTAATAGTAATTTCTTCATATACAGTATATATATATATATATATATATATTTTATTTATTTTTATTTTTTTATTTTTATTTTTTTTATTTTTAAGCAACTGCGTTAACTTATGTTAACAAATTTAATGTGCCATCAATTCTTTGCTAGTTATGTATTTATCATGCAATGACAGACTCAGTGTTCTCATATGAGTTGGATGGGACAAGTCAGTGAGCGAAGACTGCAGCTGAATACACAGATTTAGAGGGCCAATAACATCATGTCAGAGAGAAAAAGAGGGACTTGCTTAGAAGGAAGGAGAGAGGGACTGTGTAGGTTGTAGGGTTCATACATTTGAGTGAGAAGAGCAGGTGTGTGTGTGTTATGGGAAGAGGGGGTAGACTATGCTATAAAACCTTTCCCTCTATAATGCAACACACAATCTATGGTATTATGTTAAAGAAATATTTGAGGTTCAAGTTAAGCTCAATCAACGGCACTTGTGGCGTAATGGTGATTACCAGAAAAATAATTTAGACTTGTGTCTTGTTTTCTTTAAACATAAAATAAATAAGTAAATGGGGCCAATTTTTGGAGCATTTAAAAGCAGAAAGTTGTAGCTTAGAATTGTATAAAAGCACTTACATTAAAGGAGTAGTTTATCCAAAAATGAAAATTTGCTGAAAATCGACTCACCCTCAGGCCATCCAAGAGATGAGTTTGTTTTTTAATCAAAACAGATATGGAGAAATTTAGCTTTACATCACTTGCTCACCAATGAAACGGGTGCCGTCAAAATGAGATGATAAAAACAATAATTTGCAAGTAATTGACACAACTCCAGTTCATCAATTAATGTCTTGTGAAGTGAAAAACTTTGTGTTTGTAGTAAACAAATCCATCATTAAGGCTTTTATTTTTAAACCTTTAGAATTCCAGTACATAATCCATAATACGCTTCCTCCAACGAAAAAGTCCATGCCCTGTTGATTTATTATCAGAACACACCAACATATTTGCTTGTTTTGCTTCCGGATTGCTTCCGGCTTCGCTACCGTTCGGACGTTCTTGCTGTTTAGCTGTGCATTCATTGAATGAGCACTGTGCTATGTCCGAACTGATTGCACTATATTCTACGTATTATCGTTTTCTTAAATTCATTTTAAACTTCTTAAATCAATTGTTTTAATCATTTTCAATGTTTTTAAATTCCTTGTTTTATTGTTGTGATTTTTTTTTTTTCTTTTCTTTTATGTAAAGCACTTTGAATTACCATTGTGTATGAAATGTGCTATACAAATAAACTTGCCTTGCCTTGCCTTGCCTTGTTTTGTGCTAATTTTGCTTGAAAATGGTGCTTGCTCAGTGCATACTTCTCTCTTGATTTAGATGAGTGTTTTTTACTGGCGAAAGCAATAATATGGATAGAGGAATCTCTTGCCGTAAGCAATGGTTTGAAGTTAAAAATGTCTTAATGTTTATTACAAACATGCAGCTTTTGACTTCTGGAGTTGTGTTGATTACTTGTGGACTATTGTGATGTAATGGTTTTATCAGCTGTTTGAACTCTCAATCCAACGGCACCCATTCACTGCAGAGGATCCACTGGTGAGCAAGTGATGTAATGCTAAATTTCTCCAAATCTGTTCTGTTGAAGAAGCAATCTTGGATGGCCTGTGGGAGAGTACATTTTCATTTTGGGGTGAACTATTCCTTTAATTCATCTTTTATAACTTGTTATAACTTCTGTATAATTTGAGCTATAAAGCTGCTCTCATCATTTTACAGTGGTTTTATGGTTACATTACAACAGAAATGTAGTATTAAAAATCCTTTTACCCAAAAAACTACAATTAAAATCATGTACATGCATATTGTTTAGGTGGCTATGCTACTGAAACTGAATATGTTACTGTTGATGGATTGGCAATAGTTACTTCCATTGTTAGTGCCTCACTTTAACCAGATGTTTGTATTTTTTAAGGAAGAAACAGATCAAATCAGCATTATTCCACAAATGCTGTCAGCTGAGCTCAACCGTAATATTCCTTTAATACGCTGCTGTCATAGAGAAATACACATTTGGACATTATTCTAAGCCATAAATATGTTTATAGCATGCCTACTGAGGATGTAGTGCACATAAGGATGAGTGGACATTAGAATGAGTGTATCATTGTATATAATGCTGTATGACTATAGGGTCAGTGTCTAATAACTCATATTGTGGCCACATGTGATGGAGGTGTGTGTGTGAAAGAGAAGAGGAAAACGTGTTTTCAGGACAGCTAATTCTTCACAGCATTTGGAAGGCTAATGTACATCCATCCAGAGGGGATGAGAAGTCCATTATTCATTTGCATGTAACTCCACAAATATGCTGAAATGGTTTGTTAAATTTACATGTGTGAGTGTGCAAGTATATGTCATTATTTTGTCATCATGTAACCCCTCCTGCACTGCAGCGTCAGCAG